ACCCTTTCGCTGGTCGACGACATTTTCTGGCTCATGGATGACATCTGTTGGCTCACCGAAGATGACTCCTGGCTCGAGAGGGATACCTGTTGTTGCTGCTCCTTCGAGGCGAGTCTTTCTGAGACGCTCAGGTCCTGTCCGCGCTGGTGCTCTATCGAAGCGACCTGGCTCTCACGCCCCTGCTGCAGATGCTGCTGCTCTATCATCTGTTGCTCTGTCATCTGCTGACTCTCCATGGACGACAACTGCTGCCGACTCTCGTTCTGTTTCACCATCTTCACTTCCTGCGACACGCTCTTCTTCTGCTGCGACATGCTCTTGCTCTCCGAGGATTCCTTCCTGCTGCTGCTGCTGCTGCTGCTTCGGTAGTCGCGCGAGCTCTGTCCGGAGACGCTGAAGCTCTCCTCCGTACTCGATACCTTCTTCGAGGACGAGGACGAGCGCTGTTCCTTGACCATCGAGGTAGAAGAAGAGGAGGACACGTGCGAGGAAGAGACCGACTTCGAAACTTGGGACGAGGACGTGGCTGCCATCGAGGACGACTTCGATTCGACATTTTTCGAGATACTGAGCGAGTCCGAATCTGTGGCTGCTCGGCGGACGGAGGAGGAACCAAAGGGGAAAAGAAGGAAACAAAACAAAAGTGAAATAATGGAAATGAAAGAACAGAACAAATAAACAAATTCAAAGAAGCAAATTAAGGAAGTGGTGTAAAAATTAAAGTGAATTTAAAATATAAATGGCATGGAAACATATATATATATATATATATATATATATATATATATATATATATATATATATATATATATATATGAAAAATAAAGAAAATTAATCCGAAATTCAGTAAATAAATAAAAAATAAAGACAGCAGACATATGTATAAGTATATACATATATATAAATATATACACACACACGCATATATATATATATATATATATATATATATATATATATATATATATATATATATATATATATATATATATATATATAAATATATATATATATATATATATATATATATATATATATATATATATATATATATATATATATATATATATGTATATATATATATATATATATATATATATATATATATATATATATATATATATATATATATATATATATATATATATATATATATATATATATATATATATATATATATATATATATATATATATGAAAAATAAAGAAAATTAATCCGAAATTCAGTAAATAAATAAAAAATAAAGACAGCAGACAAGTGAGACTAACAGAATCAAATCATAAATGATAATAATACTGAAGTTAATCTTCCTCTTGCAGACGCAGCCAATCTTCCTCTTTATCTATTGCATTTCTTTTATTTTCTTCGCTATTTCTTCTTCCTTTCTAGTTCTCCATTTCTTCTTTTTCATTACGTATATCATTTTCTTTTTCCCATTACTTCCCATATTCATTACCCCCCCCCCCCCCCCGCCACTTCAGTGTCGGTGTTAAATTATTTAACTTATTGATTTCATTTTAGAGCTAAAACTGTATATGATTCCCCGTCATGCACCGGTCGCTACAAACATGCATATGCTCTCTCTCTCTCTCTCTCTGTCTCTCTCTCTCTTTCTCTCTCTCTCTCTTTCTCTCTCTCTCTCTCTCTCTCTCTCTCTCTCTCTCTCTCTCTCTCTCTCTCTCTCTTCTCTCTCTCTCTCTCTCTCTCTCTCTCTCTCTCTCTCTCTCTCTCTCTCTCTCTCTCTCTCTCTCTCTCTCTCTCTCTCTCTCTCTCTCTCTCTCTCTCTCTCTCTCTCTTTCTATCTATCTATCTCTCCCGTTTCCTTCTCTCTTTCTCCCCCACTCTCTCTATCTATTTATCTATCTATCTGTTTATCTATCTCTTTCCTCTTTCACTCTGACTCTCCCTCTCACTCTCCCTCTCTCTCCCTCTCCTTCTCCCCCTCACTCTCCATATATATATATATATATATATATATATATATATATATATATATATATATATATATATATATATATATATATATAACCCTTACTCCTTCTCTACCTTCCCTTCCATTAAAACTTTACCTTCCTTTTTCCCTTTACTCTTTTCCCTTTACCCCCCCCCCTTACATAAACCACCTGCTCCACAAATTCTCACACCCTTCCCATCCCCCGCCTCCTCACCCCCCCCCCTCCTCATCTACACTCACTCAACACCCCTCCCTGCTTCCCCTTCCCCCCCCCCCCCTCTTCTCCTCCCTCCTTCGTCCTCGTTCACAACCTCTATCCTCTCTCCTCTTTCACAATCCCCTTTCTTCTCCTCCCTCCCTCCCACCATCCCTTTCACAACCCCCCCTCCCCTCTTTCCTCCCTTCCTCACTCTCCTCTTCCCTTCTTCCTCCTCCCCATGCACAACCCTCTCCTTCCCTTCCTCCCCCCTCCTTACTCCCCAATCCTCTTCCCTTCCTCCTCCTCTCCCCCTCCCTCCTTCGCTCTTCTCCCATCCTCCCTCTCT